CCCCCCCCCCCCCCCCCCCCCCCCCCCCCCCCCCCCCCCCCCCCCCCCCCCCCCCCCCCCCCCCCCCCCCGCCCCATTTCTACCCCCCCTCCAGACCCCCCACCCCACCCCCCTGGCTGTCCCCGGCGCGGGGATCCCCGCGGAGGTGCCGTGGGGTAACACTGACCTCCCCCACCCCACCCCGACCCACCCCCGCAGGGCTCCTGCTTCCAGTCTTCCCGGCGGGAGAAGTACGGGAACGTCTTCAAGACGCACTTGCTGGGGCGGCCGCTGGTGCGGGTGACGGGGGCGGAGAACGTGCGGAAGATCTTGATGGGGGAGCACCACCTGGTGAGCACCGAGTGGCCCCGGAGCACCCGCATGCTGCTGGGACCCAACACCGTGGCCAACTCCATCGGCGACATCCACCGCCACAAGAGGAAGGTGAGGCTTCGCGCGAGAGACGGGGCGTGGGGGGGGGGGGGCGCGAGTGGGGGCGTGGAAACACCTTCCCTTTTTGACTTTCTCCTCTCCATCTCCCTCTTTCTCCTTCTCCCCTTCTTCCTTTCTCCCCTTCCTCCCTTCTCACCCTCGTTTCCCTTTTCCCTTTCCCTCCCCATGTCCCCCGCCCCGTGCCTGGGGTGTCCCTCGTGGGCTCCCCCCGCGCCGTGTCCACACTGGTTGATTTGAGGAGGTTAAAGGGGCGCCGGGGGGGCTCTGCTGAGGATGGGGGTGTTGCCCCTCTCCCCCCTCCATCTCCCCCCTCCCGCCGTGCCAGGTGACACGCGTGGGGGGAGCTGCGGGGCCCGGGGGGTTCTTAAAAGGGCGACGAACCCAGCAGGGAGAGGGTGGGCCTGGAGGGGAGGGGGAGCCCCCAGAGTGTACCCCCCCTTTTGCAGGGAGACCCCTCGGGGTTGGTCTTGCTGAGGGTGGTCTGGTGGTGCCGAGCGTTTCCTTGGATCTCAAGGAATTTGGAGGGCTCGGGATGAATTTTTTGGGGGGGGGGGGGGAACCTTCTTGTGTCACCCCCTCGGTGGTCTAGGGGGGAGAGCCCCCCTTGCAGCCCCCGAGGCAGGTGGGGAGCACAGGGCAGCTGGTTTTGGGGGTGCTGAGCCCCAGCAGGATGTGGGGGATGGTCCTCGTGTCCCCCCCCGCGGTGGCAGTGGTGACACTCTGGTGGAAAGGCTGGTGGTTCTCACATCCCACCCTCCACGGGACAGGCTCATTCCCAGCTGGAACAGGGCAGGGAGCGGATCTGGGATGGAGGAGGTGTGTGTGCAGCGTGGGGACAGCAGTGCTGGCACGGGCAGAGCGTCCCCAGTGCCACTAGCCCGTCCCCATCCCCGCCCCTGGGCCGGGTCCCCTCTCCGCTCTGCTCCAGCAGGATTTCCTATTTTGGTGTCTGTAAAATCCCTTCCAAACCCTCTTTGCTCCTGGGGGAGATGAGGAGAGAAAACAAACAGCACATGACACCCATTAGTCACATTTTTCAGTGTGACACCACAAGAAACACCAATAGTGTCAATCCCAGCCCCGGACTCGACAAACCCAGGGCCTGCAATTGGGGATTTTGTTGGTTTTTTTTTCTTAAGGAGGGAGGTATTTTTTCCAACCTTACTGTCCAAGAGAAAGGGCAGGAGTTCACGGGGCTGCCTCCACCAGGGAGCAGAATTTGGGGCAGGATTGGGATGTGGGGAGTGATGGATTTTCCTCGGCAGCAGCTTTGGCTCCTGTTTATTTCCTATCAAGGGATCAGGCAGTGGTTTGAAGGTGTCTCTGTTCTCCTTTCCTGCTTCTTTTATCCCTCTGCACAGCAAGATTACTCCTTGCTGCTGGAAAGTGGCCTTTGGTTGGGATCTCCTTAATAAAACCAGGGAATTCAGCCCTCAGGAACAGACACAGGAGAGTGGGCTCATGGAGAAGGGAGTTCTGACCCCTGTGGGATCCCAGTGGATCTGTAATTTGTCCCACAGCTCGGGTGGGCAGTGCCAGCTCCAGGAAGGAGCAGTGCCAGCAGGACAGGACAGGGAGAACCTCCCTCACTCCACAGTCCTGCCTGATGTCCTCACCTGAGTGGTTTTTCCTACTGTGAAACACGTGGCCCACCCTAAGCTGGGAAAGCAAATGCTTTTGGAATTTTCTCAGTCCAGAGGCTGGTCTGGATCTCGTGAATCTTCTCCTCAAAACCCTTTTTCCTCCCTGATTAGGCATTAGATATTGGGAAGGGATTCCTGGCTGTGAGGGTGGGCAGGCCCTGGCACAGGTTGGGCAGAGAAGCTGTGGCTGCCCCTGGATCCCTGGAAGTGTCCAAGGCCAAGTTGGAGTAACCTGGGCTGGTGGAAGGTGTCCCTGCCCACGGCAGGGGTGGAACTGGATGGTCTTTAATGTCCCTTCCACCCCAAACCATTCCATGATTCTAAGGGTTTTGGCATCACACGTAATCCCAAGCTGGCAAGGATCCTAATTCCTGTTTAAGGGGTGGCTAAAGCCTCCTGGGAACAGGTATTCCAACAGAACACTGTCCCAGGATGACCCTTTCTCCTGCTCTCACACCTTTGCTTCGAGCTCCAACAAACCTTTCCAAACACTTTCCCTGCATCAGCAGCTCTGGGGACGCTCCAGAAGCTCATTATTCCTTAATCTTCCTCTTTCACTGTCGTGAGGTTGAGAACGTGGGACTGAGCTTTGGAAATCAGGGGGATTATTCCGATTTCTTCACTTGATCTCCTCTTAATTACTGCTTTTGGGAGCTGGGCATCTCGTGCATCCCTCCTGATCCCTGAGGAATCACCTCTCCCCTACAGCCCATCCCTTTCCCTGCACACAGAGCACCCAGAGATCGGGTGAACCTGCTTCCAAAGGGGAGAAAATCAAGCATTTTGTTCTTGTCAAGACTCAGATGAGCCAATTTTCCAGCTTTTTCCAGGCCGGGTGTGCCTTTTCCCTGCCTGTGTTCATTAACCCTGAGCTTCTGCTGCTGTTAAATTGGCTTTTAACCCTCCCCACCCTGAGACTCTGAGAGGTCCAAGGAGGAAGAACTCAGACCATATTTAAGATTCGAGCTCCTTCCAGGTACAAGTTTTAATTTGGACCTTCCTCTTGGCCTGCTGGAGAACCGAGCAAGGAACTTGTTGGCACAAGGCAGGTTTTCCCCAGAATTCACCAACTTTCGTAGCAAGGGTTTTAGTCTTCAGAAAAATATTAAAATAATCGAGAGCAGTGTGAAAGCTCCGTGCAGGAGAGCAGTGGGATTTCCTGGGAAACCTTTCTGGTGGCCGATAATTCCATTTTTAAAGCATTTGTTGGGGCTTTCCGGAGCAGCAGTTCCATCCACCTCTCCGGTCCTGGTTCGCACCTCACCTCTGAGCTCGAGCCTTCTCTTGTCCTTCCCCCCTTCCCTGCTCTTGCCAGGAATTGGGGTGTAATTCCTCAGGAGGCTGCTTTGTGGCCAGGGATTCCAGCAACTCGAGGAAAGGCGGAGCGTGGAATCCGTGTTCTCACACTCCAGCCACCGGGGTCACCTCCAGATCGTGTGTCCAACCACCCCTTCCACGGCCAACCCCCTCTGATAAGTCCTTGTCACCCTTCCAGAAGCCTGTGGAGCTGCATTTCTTTGCAGCAGCAGCCCTGGCAGACACTCTTTGATCATTCCCTGGCAGAGTCTCCTCCCGATGGCGCAGATTGTCACCGAGATGGGAGGATGAGCTCCAGCGAGGAGCCTGAAACCCAACATGTTCTTGCAGGAGCTTCCTGGGAGCTGGCCAGGAAGCAGCTGCTTTGCTGGCCCATGTGTTTTCCAAGGAGCTTTCCAGGGAGCTTTTTAGCTCTTCGGTGCAACTTCAGGAATCAGCAAATCGCGGCTCTTGGATGTGCTGTAGGACACTTGGTGCTGGTGGCGGGGGGGATGACTCAGTCTCTGGAGCTCTTCTCTCAGGTTTCTAAGTTCCCTATCTCAGCTAGTTTTCAGGATCCTGCGTGGATCCATTATCCTATCCCTTAAAGGGGTGAAGATCCTCTTCTCTGGGCTCCCAGAAGTGTTAATCCCGTGGATGTTGATGAAGGGCTCGGAGATGCACGTGTGGAAGGTGCTCAGGAGGAGCAAAGCTGTACTGACGTGGCTTTCCCATCCCCAGGTTGTTAAATCTCTCCTGCAGGAACCTGCCAAAGCTCCCAGAAATTGGGGAAAACATCCCCCTTTTAGGGAAATGAATTTTACAGTTATTAGAGAGGGTGTGGAGTCAGCTTGGAGCAGGGCTGTGACAGTGGGGTGGGATGGAGGGTGAGGGTAGGGCTGGGAACAGGGGTTGCCTGGGTCAGGGGGGGTCACCTTGCTGCAGATGTCCCCTCATGGGCTCTGTCCTTGGCCTCAGATGGAGCTGGCAGATAAGAGCAGTTCACAAGGGGTGAATAAAAGCGGCCCCAAACTCCTCAGCCGCCCTCCTGAGATAAATGTCTGTGGAGAGGCTGTTCCTGCTGGGTCACGGAGTTGATGTGATGCTGGGGAAGGACCTGGGCCACCCCTGGGGCAGCTCCTGGACATGTCTCTGGCTTTTGGGAGGTAGATCCCCGTCCCTCCCCGCCCCATGAAAGGTGCCCATCATCCCCTGGGCTCAGAGCAGGGAAGGAGCGTGGCTGAGGCTGCTCCTGCTCCACCCTCCAGAGCTCTCCCCCTCCTGCTGCGGGTTTGGTGGCCCAGCCTGTCCTTGCAGGGCATCTTCAGCTCCCATGGGATCAGTGCATCACTCCAGATTTTGGGAGTGTCAGTCTTAGGCCTGTCCTAGCACAGGCTCCGGGTTTAGGCTGGAATTCAGCAGAGAGGGAGGCACTGAGGTGCCTGTGAGGGACCTCAGCAGCTCAGTGGAGGAGGAAATGGGAATTGGGAATGGCCAGGACTCACAACCCCCGGGGCCAGGAAGGAGATTCCCAGCGCAGGATCCGGGGAAGGTGGGACTCTGACTTTCCCTGGAATCCTCCAGCCCTGGCAGGGCAGCGCTGGCCTCGTGTTCCAGCACAGGGAGATCCCAAAATAGGCACAGCTGGCTTAAAAAGAGGCACACAGAGAGAAGAAAATCAAAGCTCTCCTTGGGCTGGGGAGACATCCCAGAGCCCGAGACTCCAGGAGGAAGCAGACAGTGGAGCTGGAGCAACGGCCTGGTTTGTCTCACTGTCCAAAAGCTCCATCGCTCATTAACACACCGCAATTAATGTTCTGCCTCACAGGCACACAAGTGTTGAGCTTATTAGCACCAAGTAGAAAGGTCTGAGGCTTTTAATATCGTTTGCAAGAGGATTAAGAACACAAAAGGGGCCATAAATTTACAGCCAAATATAAACCAGCTGCTGTGGGCTGGACTGGGAGTGGGGGGACAGGGATGGGGAGAGGGGTGGAGGAGGAGGAGGAAGGAGGGATGGGAAGCACTGGGAATGTGCCTTTCCCTACAAAA